TACTAAGTTGTTGTTGTTGCTGCTGCTGCTGCTGCTGCTGCTGCTGCTGCTGCTGTCCCGCTGCAGCAATCGGCGATGCGCTGCTATCGGGCGAGCCATTGTGACTGGCTGGATGATGCTGTTGCAGTTCCATCTGGTGATAATGATGTTGAGTATTGCTTAGATTAGGATTGCTTTGTGCCTGCTTCAGTGACAGCTGCTGCTGTTGCTTCTGCTGTTGCTTATAGCTAAAGACTGCTAATGAGTATGCAGCGTTGTGAATGATATTGTTGCCGTAGATGTTACTATTGCTATTGCTATTGCTATTACTATTGCTGCTGCTGCAGTTGCTGAAGTTGCTGTAGTTGCTGTAGTTGCTGTAGTTGCTGTAGCTGCTGCTGCTGCTGCTGCCGCTGCTGGTCAGCGAATGTAATGATGATGGCGATGTGGTTGCTTTTGTTGTGCCTGTCTTGGAATGTTGTCGTGGCTGCTGCTGATAACTCAGTTGCGTCATCTGTGTGGGCGTTGAGTGCTGATACTGCATACATGCATACTGCTGCAGCTGTTGCTCCAGCTCCAGCCCTAGCTCTAGCTCTTGCTGTTGCTGCTGTGGCAGATGCTGCTGCTCCTGCTGCTGCTGCTGCGGCTGCTGCTGCTGCTGCTGCTGCTGCTGTTGCAGCTGTGAATGTTGCATTGCTCCTGCTCCACATAGGTCGGCGCCCATCTGCTGCAATATCTGCTGGGCCGCCACATTTATAATACTTTCCATAGCGTGCGATCGTCACTTGCCGTTTCCACACATTCAGTCTTTGAGTTACTTTGCGTATGCGACGGAAATAATTTGTTTCTTTTAATTTTCATTAATTTTTTACTTTTTCAAAATCAATTTTTTTTAATTTTTATAGTTTTTAGATTTTTAATGTCGTTTTCTTTTAATTTTTAATCAATTTGACTGCTGCTGCTCAGTTTAGAACTACTCTACGCGATTCCAATTCAAAAACTTGCACAATAAACGAAAAGAAAAAGAAATAGAAATTGTTTTCAATTAAACTTAGTTGTTCGTTGTTTTTGTTCGCTTACAATTTCGTTACATGAAACATACAGAGAAACATTTTGGATTGAGCAGCTTTTACACGAGCCTACAAAAAGAGACAGAGCGAGGGAGATAGATATATATATATATATATATTATACATATATATATATATAGAAAGAGAGAAAGAAAGAAAGAACGAAAATTAAGTTGGCAGCTTTGACGTTTCTCTCAGTGTATACTTTTCTCTATCGAGTTGCCAACTTGTTTCTGAGGTTTTTGCTCCCGAATCCTGCTCTCGATTGACGCTCGTGTAAACGCAGCTCTGAGTAGTTGAGTTTAGTATGATTCGATTTGATTTGATTTGATTTGATTCTTAGGCTAGGCCGTGTGCTGTTTTTGCTCCGTCCTTGGAAGGAAAATGATGAAGGTGGCGGTGTATAAGTATAGGTCATAGATAGGTTTATAGAGTGGTAGAGCGCCTTTTGTTTTAGTACGTTTTGCAGTGTTTCGAGTCGAGTTGATTTTGAGTTGAGTTGAGTTGATTCTGAGTTGAATTTGATTTGCATTGATTTGATTCGAAAGCAGCGCGCTGGATGGATATTGTAGTAGTAGTAGAGTAGTAGTAGTAGTAGTAGTAGTAGTAGTAGTAAGTAGTAGACGATTATGGTGTTCTTTTTTTCAGTGATGACAATCGGGATGTGCTTGGCTTGGATTCGTATTTATTTATTTATTGTGTACTTTGCAATGCTTGCGCCATATGCAATGAGCAACAGATCGGCAGACAGCTCCCACACAACACCAAAGACAACAACAACAACAATACAAGATTGATAAAGTGACAGAAAGATAGATAGAGGGAAAGAGATCGTAGTATATATGCATATATAATACATAATATCAAAATATATTCAAGTATTATGCTAGTTACATACACATACATACATACACACGCACTGACAGTTACATACAAAAATAGAAGATTGATTGATTGATTGATTGACGCCTGCAGTTGCGTTTGGAGTTATGAAGCAGCGGCAACAGCAGCAGATGCAGCAGCAATTGTTGTTCGATTTGAAGTGCTTTATTAGGAGATTGATCGGAATTGATTGCACGATGGATTGATTGATAGTTTGATTGATTGCCAAGAAGCACAGTATCGATTATGATGATTGATCGTTTCTGCATTATGTACACACATGTACTCGTGTTATCATCGCTTGATGGAAGATGTTATTCAACTACAGATCACACTTCGCAACTTGATGCTTCTTAGAATTACAAATAATAATAGAAATATGCAGTAAGAAGAATACAGTAGAAGTAGTAGTAGTAGTAGTAGTAGTAGTAGTATAAGTGATTTGTTGCATTTCTCAATCTGTGCGAGAGATGGTCTATATCCATGTATGTATAGAGAGAATAAGATAGTAGTAGTTAATGACGAGAGTTACACAACATCCAATAATGGTATGGAAGGTAATGCTCTTATACACCTAGAATACGATTACTATGCCAACAATTTACCATTCAGCGTGTTGATCTTAACTATGGATGGAGTCTCTCTTTCTCTCACTCTGTTTTTCTTTTTCTCTCTCTGTCTCTCTCTCACTCTCTCTCTCTCTCTCTCTCTCTGTCCACTTCTCTTTCCTTTCAGCTCGGTTCGGTTCAGTTCAGCTCAATTCAGTCCAAATTCTGACTGTGTTGGGAAATTCCAGTTAGAGACTTGTGATCGACGATTATGATGGATGATGGATTCGCCTTCGATTTTTGTCACTTGTTATTGCGTTATTATTTGAATAAATTCGCCTTTTGTTTTGTCATTTTTGTAATCACAATAGAGTTTTTGTTTTGTTTCTCGTTTTCTTTTATTTCACATTTAAATGTTTTTTTTTTTTTTTTTTTTTTTTTTTTTATTTTTTGTTTTTTTTTGTTTTT